TAGTTAACAACGTAAAAATTCAAATGCTTTTTGTGATGATGGAATTTAAGAGTGTTAAAATAATTATAATCTTGAGAAGATTATTCTTTGCTTTGGTTTTGTATTGTCCTTCACTATAATGTGGGAGGCTCTAAGACGACCTACAGGATGTATCATTTGCTCAGTACGGACTTCTTTGAGGCTGGGGCATGCTGTGCACAAATATAACATCTCAAAATTTCAACAGCCAGTCTCTGAGAAGCATCGCTGACTGGTATAGAATGATTTTGTGGAGTCTTAATACCTGTGTGGATTTTGCAGAAAACAACAAATACTCCTCTCTGACAGGACAGTCAGTATGTAAGCTAACATTTTATAGCTTTCAACACTGCTGAATAATAGGTAGCGTTATATAAAAGTAACTCTCATAAAACAAATCAGGCAATGTTACTCCATTCTAATGCACTACAACTTTAAACACCCCCCAAAAAAAGTAAAGCTCAGCATATTTTACTTCATTAAGTCTGACACGAACACTCCTTAGACTTTCAGGGAGGCCATCTTTCCCAAAATTAGTTACAAACAGTGAAATCAAGAATACAGAGAATTATGTAGTGTTCATACATTACAATATACTCTCTCCTTTAGTTTATAAATGAATGTTTTTTAAACTGATCATGTTTGAGGGGAGCAATTGTCTAAACACGACTCAGACACACAAAAAAATCAAGTCACACTTGCATTCATATACTTGTATTCCTCTCTGCAGTAACTGATGGAGAATAAGAAGAGAAAGGTTTAGCATCCTTTTTTTGGGGGGGGTGGGGTGGTGTAAATACTACATATGCATGAATTTGAGCTATGTTCTACTGACGTTTTTTGAGACTTCTTTTAAGTGTTGAAAAAATTACTTCTGTGAACATTTGTGCTAGGTAGTTACTTGAAGTAAGGTTTTAAAAGCCCTTAAGCGGATAGCATATTAACAATGCCCGTCTAAATGTGGTCAGTTCAAACACCTTCAAAAGTCATGGTAAATTTACTCAGGATAACTTTTTTTTAAGCTATTACCCTCTATCAATACAATGGTTTTGTAGTGCAATTGCTCAAAAATAAGTCATGTAAAAATATTGTGCAAAGGTCCAGAAAAATCAATGCCTAGTCCCAATACATGGCATTTCTGCCTGGGTCTCCATTTCTCTATAGAGGTTGTGTATTAAAAAGTAGTAGAAAAACATACATTTTTCAGAAAGCCTGAACTTTGTCCTCATTCTGCAATGTTACAAGAAAGCAATCAGAAAACAGATAAACAGCATTGATTTGCACAAGAAAAGGCTGCTGGAGTTGGGACAGGACAGCTATTCCTGATGCAGGAGGAAAGCTTGAGGGTGCTTTGTACTCTGGAGAGAGGGTTCAAGGAAAGTTCAGCAATTTATCCTTGAAATTTTTTTATGGGTTGTGACCACAAGTGCCATGGGCCAGTTTCAGCCATAAGCAGATGGAATTTCCTTTCAGCCAAAGCAGTTTGGTTTCAAGGGACTCAAAAGCGCCTTAGTGGAAAATCTGAGACACATGTACCACAGCTTCTACTGTAGTCTCCCAATTCTCTCTCTGTGCCGAACTAGTGTAACACAAGTTACATCTACAACTGCAACCTTAGATTATATAGGTCAGTCAACTTTCTGAACAATTACTTGTAGTAGTAAACTACTTGTAGTAGTAAACTACTAAGTCTTCTTTATAATCATTAGGTTTGAAGAACTACTTGGCCAATCTTGCATGATAGGTGCAAAATATCTGGACAAGATTTGTGTAAAGAAATATTAAAAACACGGGAAAGGACTCAGTGGAAAACCTCGAGGAGGAAACAGGAATCATTTCTTAAAAAATCAGCAAAGCAGACTGTATGACCCTTATTAGAACAATAAAAATGACTGCATAGCTCCTATTAAAACTTATTCCAAGGAGGTTTGAGGGACAAAATATTTAATGCCTATCTTTAAAAACATTATTTCATGCTGAAAAGCAAAGTTAAACATCCTTAGAGGTTACACATTTCAAAGTATCACGTCAGTAAATGAAAAAGTTTGGTTAACAATGACCACTGTAGTTTTACCAAGAGTTATACAACCTTAAGAGGTATGAGAAAAGGGAATTTAAATAACAATTTAAAATACAATACTGAATGGGATTAACACTTCACTTGGATGTTTTTCATAGGTAATTGCTTCAGACCTGACTATACTGAGGCCACAGTAGGAATAAAATGAAACAGGCTAAGGATGATAAGAAGTGGCCTCCAAGACAAAAATATTTATTCTTTTATACTAGCTGGGGAAAAAAGATGCAGAGAATACTTCAGAAGAGAATAGCCTCAAGATGGTACAGTGTAAGTACTGGGTTGGGGTAACCCCCAGTATCAGTACAGGCTGGGGGAAGAAAGGATCGAGAGCAGCCCTGCTGAGAGGGACTTGGGGGTGCTGGTGGATGAAAAGCTGGACATGAGCCGGCAATGTGCGCTGGCAGCCCAGAAGGCCAACCCTACTCTGGGCTGCATCAGGAGGAGTGTGGCTAGCAGGTCGAGGGAGGTGATTCTGCCCCTCTACTCAGCTCTGGTGAGACCTCACCTGGAGTACTGCATCCAGCTCTGGAGCCCTCAACACAAGAAGGACATGGAAGTGTTGGAGCGGGTCCAGAGGAGGGCCACAAAAATGATCCGAGGGCTGGAGCACCTCTCCTATGAGGACAGGCTGAGGGAGTTGGGCTTGTTCAGCCTGGAGAAGAGAAGGCTGCGGGGAGACCTGATTGCGGCCTTTCAATACCTAAAGGGGGCCTATAGGAAAGATGGGGAAAAATCTTTTTCGTAGGGCCAGCTGTGACAGGACAAGGGGTAATGGTTTTAAACTAAACCAGGGTAGGTTTAGACTAGTTATAAGGAAGAAGTTCTTTACAATGAGGGTGGTGAAACACTGGAACAGGTTGCCCAGAGAGGTAGTGGAGGCCCCATCCCTGGAAGCATTCAAGGCCAGGTTGGACGGGGCTCTGAGCAACCTGATCTAGTTAGCGGTGTCCCTGCTCCTGCAGGGGGGTTGGACTAGATGACCTCTGGGGTCCCTTCCAACCCAAAACATTCTATGATTCTAAGTTTTGTACGAGTTCAAGAACTAACATAATAATAGCCTCCTAATGTCGTTTTACTACTTTACAAGCATAAGGAGTCCACGAGAGCACACATCTTTGCAATTATTTCAAAAAAGCAAGGCCCATTCAAAGCTGAAGGGTCCAACCTACACTCTTATACGATGATACAATGCCCCTATTCCCACCATCTGCTAGTACTCTACCACAAGTTGTTGCTCCTCTTCGTTGGCCTTACCTCCTCCCTAAGACTGATACAATCACCTCGTCTCTCTTTCTCTCACCCCCACACTTTCTACTAGGCTTGAACAGCTAACCACACTGGCAGTCAGGAAAATCAGAACCACTTGCCTCAATCTCTGAGCAACTTTTACATCTGTTTCTTCCTCAAAGCTTTTCTTTAGTCTGGTGAGTACTGAATAATTGCTGAAAAAAAACCCAAATCATGGTGATTCTTTATTATGACTTTATTCAAGGAGGTGAATGCTATAATACAAAATAACAGCAAGCACTATTACTTGCCTTATGCCTTTGGAGAGAATAATGCAGTAGTAGTAAACGTGGTTAAAGTAATCCCCTAACATTTAAAAGGCATTTACCCATGGGGCAAATGAAAATCTGGGAAGTGGATGAACTGTGCAAGTCAGCATAATCTCTTTTTATTTCTTACTAAAAACCTTACACATTAGTATTCTCAAACCAGATCAGGCCATAAATGCCTAAACACTGTATTAAATGAATAAAATAAAGTATTATAACAATTCATATTATTTTTATAACCCATCATCACCATGCATAAGTATGTATCAGTCCATTGACTTTATTAAAAGCAAGATTCTGGTCTCCCACATGCTGTTCTATTGGCATAAAAAGATCATAGAAAGCAGCAGATGGGGTGAATAAAAAAGAAAAGAAGCTCCTATTGCAGGGCAAAAAAAGCACTGTAAACAATCACTGGCAACCCCCTCTGACGGAGGGCGTTGCCTGAAAGCGCACAGGATGGCTTTGGGATGCAGCACTAGCTCAGTGTTCCTCTTATACATGAGACCAGATGTTCACCCCATGTGTGAGGCAACTTTCACAAGGAAAGAGGCATGATCTTCTTCTACACCACCCATTATCACTGGAAAAAAAAGGTATGCTTTCAGGGAAGCCCTGGACTGCTTGAAATATTGTTTTTTTTCCACAGTTATATCAGCACAGCTTACATGTATTCAAGGATAGGCTGCCATTTCAGTCCCTGCAGTGGGAATTTGGACATACAAAGGATTTTGGGACACTTGTGCTCCCTATCCTCTTTTTTTCCCAGGCCATACATATTGTAATGATCCTCAGATGTCCCTCCTGGTTACAACACCAAACATGAACAAAGGTTTCAAACTTACATTACTTTGGTATCCTTTTCTTACACTAACTAATTTAAATTAGTTCGAGGAATGTGATTTATATTCTCATTGCTCCTTTATTAACTACAAACACATCATTTTCCATTGCTTGCATAATGGTTGTCTGTGATATAAGCACTGCCCAGACACAAATCCAAGCACACTACGATGTAGTTCACACCCTTGTCATCTGTTGTTTCTTTACAAAATGTTAACTTTTCAGGATATTTATACCATGAACCAAATTTTGATGCTTACACATTTCAAGTCACAACCTCGCTCTAGCACAGTTCATTGCTCAGAACTTATGAAGTCACTGGAGTCTTAAAAATTCTGAGCAATCAATTCTGTTGTTCAGTTACAGCTGTAAATTCTTAGCAACTAAAAAGATCACTATATTTTGCCTATTTCATACTACAAATTAGTATCTTAGCTCATCACATTATTCCAAGTAAAAAAAGTAAAATTTACTATTTACTATTGCTACTACTTCTTCCTTACCTTCTCATATCCTCCTTTATGTGCAGATTGATCAGTTCTTTCGGAACATGGAAAGAGAGGGTGGTCTCAGCCATCTGTTCCCGGATCCGCATCCACTTGTTGTCAGAAGTAGGGAATCTATATAACTTACAGATTGGGTTTTTTAACACTGCAGAGAAGAAAAATTATATCATTGCTTTACTGTGCTTATATGACACTCTGAAAATTTATGACAACAATTTCATCCAAAAATAACACATTATTTCCCCCTTCCTTGCTTCCAGAATGAATTTTAGACATTAAATTTTTATTTAATTTATTATAGCAGCATGTGGAGGACAAAATATTACTAGTGCAGTAGATAAATCACATTTTACCCACACAGTAGGTATCCTGTGAATTTAGGATTTCAGTGTAGGGAGAATGTAAATTATGCTCTCTATTCTTACACTTAAGATACAGTTAGGAAAATGGAATCCACAAATAAACAACGAACCCACATATAGTCAATGCCATCACTTACCATCTGCTAGAATCACTCACATTGCTAATAAATTGCATGGGACAAGTGAAGCATGCCTCAAGAGTTTAGCTATGATGCATCTGATGCATCTTCTTCATGACATGCACACACAGAAGTCATTAACACAAATAGATGGTATGCACCTACATTAAAGGAAACTTGACCATTCAACATGGTCAAGAGACTGCCACTACATGGAAATAAAAATAACAATGCTGCAAACCTGTTAGAAACACTGTTCTCTGACTACTACTATAACTTGACATGGGAAAATCATGTTATTCGATGTCTTAGAAGGTTAGGCTTAAAACCCACCATGGTTTTTATCTTAAAGCTCTCACGTGTTGGCTATGTTTCCATTCAGATCTTAAAATAAGTAATAAAGGTGGGCAATTTCTATTCTCTCCTTTCCTCTCCCCACCCCGCCCCCAACTGATCTTCCAGAAAGAGCAAACGGGGAAAAATCTGAGAAAGAAAAGTTTTATTTGACTACATTGGTAAGCTTACTGGGAGACAAATGATTGTCATTTAACACATAGATCCACTGCTTCCTAACTCAGAATGACTTTGGACAGCCATCCAAATCCTCCAACAGTACCTTTCTATCAGCCTTCTGGAAAAAGCTGCCTTAGAGCAGGCTCCCATTGATCTGCCACTGAATGGTCTATAACTCAAAGGAATGCATTTCCCATGTGTGCTGCAAGGAAACTGTTGCTGTCAAAATGACATCTGCTAACAGAAATTTCAGCTTCATGACTCTCTGCCACCATTATTGCCTATGTAGGCTGATTTATAGAGAATGAAAAACACAGACCAAGTTACTGAAGATACAAAAACTATCTTGTCTATTTAATCAAACTGGTTTTTAACCAAAGTCCTTCAGGAAAGGCCTAAAACAAGACCACAGTGTCAAAGATATCTGTAATAAAATAGTTGCTGCCAACTAATAATGTTGTAAATAATCATGTTTAAGTCATTGCAGATGTATCGTTTTGTATTCCCATCACCCTACTGAAATCTCTAGGGGGTATTTTTTGGTTTTGGTGGTGGTGCTTTTGTTTTGTTTTGGTTTTTTTTTTTAATAATGCCTCCTGTTCACTAGGAAGCAAGCTGATACTCTTTACCAGGACATTTCAAATTATGATCCCCCAGACACAAAAGGCTCTCTTCTCTAATTTACCTTTTTATATCTACTTCCTAAGAAGTTATCAAAGGATGTTTTTCCAAGAACAGACCTTAAATTTGCACTCAGAATCTATTACATTCAAAAATTCACATTGTCTGGGAGAACCTAATGCACATACGTAGCTCCACAATTTCTTTTCCTTCCCCACTATCACCACCACAGGAGAAAGAACCAAACCAAACAAAAAACCCAACACGACTACAGCATGATAGCAAGGAAGACTAGGAATCACTTTGAAAATGTGGGTCCAAAAGCTGTGACTTTTATCATTGTTAGAATTATTAAACTACTCTTCAGATACTACCTCTGAGTGTGAATTTTCAGCTGGGGATAATCTCAAGTGTGTTGCAAGTTTTAGAAAAAATGGCCAAAACATCTCTCCATGGTTTTATGAAGAAAACTTCATATACAAACTCAGAAAAAAGCCTGGGAATTTTGTTTTCACATGGAAGCCAAAGAATTCCCATTTGCAGTATTGCTAAAGCTTGAGATTGCCAATAAGAGCTGCACAATACTTTATGTTTTTCTTACAAACAGAACTACTGAAGTCATGTGCTTCCATACTTTCCAATTACAACAAGTTATCTAAAAAAGAGTTCTAGAAGGCATGTAAAACCACCCAAACAAGCAAGAATGCCAAGACTAGATTTAGCTGTTATAAAAAGTAGTTATTAAAATGAGTAAAGTTTCACAAAGGTAATCCTTCTTGTATTAGGCAGTGGTCACGAAAGGCACTGGAAAAAATAATCCAGGTGAACTGCAGTGGTTAAAAAGAGAAAAAGCTATTTTAAAAGCCTTTCTCTATAGCATGAAGCCTAAAAGCCAATGCCATATATTTAACATCCCTATTTTAGGACATTCTCATTTTTAAATTTAAAGACCTCTGTGCTTTTTATTCCATGCAATATCCTTCACACTGCTTCCACTGTAAGTAAAATAAAAAATTAATAAAAGATTGAATACTCTCTTCCCTATTGAACATAGATCAAAGCATACCACTGCCATATACTAATTTAATAACATTGTTTCTATTTAAACCTTCCTTTGTAGCACAGGTGTATTATGCATATAATTTCTGGAAGAATAATTTCAACTTACTTAATTTTTGCTTAATTTAAATTACTTTTATTCTCTTTTTGTATTGTAAAGCACAATATGTTTACATCCAAACAATTGGCAAACTCTCTAGCGTTATAAATAAATAACTGAATTTTGAGACATATAAATTCAATCTCTTGGGGTATAAATGGAATAGTGATAAGCCTCTGTGAAATATGATACTCATTCCCACTCACTCAATAGATGCCTCATAACTCACTTGAGGGTTGCGAGTTCCTTATATTAAGATTTAAATTTCAGAAAAATGCCAATGTGCATCTATGCCTACAGGCTTAAAGATTCACATAGCGGTATTTTTTCAGTTTCATAGTTTCGAAGTCCTGATAAACAAGATGAGAGAGAAAGTACCAGCAATCTTTACGATCACTGAATACATACATATATGGAATATACACTGTGCTGCAGATAGTTCTGTATGTACACAGCAGGGAAAAGTAGTGCAGGCAATGTTGATGTTGTCAGTTTGCCTGTAATATACTTCTGCAACATTACTGATATTGTTCCTTTCCCTTCAGTCCTTGTTTTTTGATTGCCTCTAATTTTGCCATACTGAAATTTGTCTGGCTTAAACTGATTATTTTTTCAAATTTTCAGTTAAAATGGTCCAGCTACAGAGAATGAAGCCAGCAATCTGCAGTAGGAAGTTCTGTGCTTTATAAACTTGATTTCTGACAGTAAATCTTCTAGAGAGATGTGCATTTTACAATATCCATGGCAATCCACCCAGATCTGACAATGACTTAAGCCTTGGGAAAGAAATCTCTGCATGTAAAAACTCAAAACTTGAACTTAACACCTCATACATGTACCAAGTGTCTACCTTTATTGAAAACTCTTGCATCATTCCCAGCTTCTAATGCCAACAAAACTGTGCACATGTCATTCATACAGAGTGGATGAATAAGTTTTTGGGCAGAGCTAGTGTGTGGTGCAATACACTTGAGGGCAGCACTGGTACCCATATGAGAAAGCCAGTCTCCACACAACACAGAGAGCTTTTGATGCACATGAAGCCCGGTCATGGAGGCATGCTGGGGAAGAGGCTGAAAGTATAAAAGGAGAGCTAAAATTTTTTAAGAAAAGAAATTGGGAATTCAATAAACAGAGTGGGACTGACAAAACCTGGAACCAGTGCCAGGCGTCAGCAGGGAAGTGGAGGCAACGCTGGGGTGAGAAGAGGAAGTCACAAGTACAGGAAACAGACTGAAGAATAAGTATTTATTAGAACAAGCTTCCTGTGCCTGAAAACTCTTTCCAATATCCTTCCTGCTGTCCTGACTTGCATATGCATCTGCAGTTCTGCTCTTTCCCCTCAACTCTTTTCAAAAACAAAAAAATGACAAAAAAAACTCCATGGTATGTTTGACTTCATAAACCCTAGTGATGTTAGGTAGGGTGGGGGTTTTGGTTTTATGTTATCTCTTGGTATATAAGAGCAATAAATGTAGAAATGTTAAGCGCTGCCTAAATATACTGCAGAATCACGTGCAAATACTAATGACAAAGTGATCTAAACTTCATTATTCACAAAACCAACACCTACGTTGGAAGTTCCAACAAAGCACATTCCCCAAACTACAGAATTTCCCCATCCACAAAAGCCCAACAAAAAACCCCAATCAAACCCACTCAATGGAGGCAGCAAATTGAAAAAAAACATCAGTTGTGCATCAGTAACATTTTCCCTGCACAGAAATGTCATTTCTTTAAGACACACCTGGATGACATACAGAACCAGAATCAAAGAATGGCTGCACGGAGTTAGACCAAATCATTGAACTGGTTCCATATCTTGTCTCCAAAGAAGAGCCATAGATAGATACCCAGAGATGCAAGATACTCTCCCTGCCTCCAGCTATTTTCAGTTCAGGAATTTCCAGAGCCAGATGTAGTTCCTGTGCATTTGGTAATTCTCAATGAATATCTTCTCCATAAACATATCTAGTCTCACATGGAACCAATGAAAAGAAATGGCAGTTCTGAAGAAAAACTTTTTCCCTGCTTCTGATCTAGTCTCAACAAGTCACAGGAAAAAAATGACAGCATTCACACATACATGGAAAAACCTCTCTGTTTTGAAGGTTTCTAGTGCTTCCTTCAGACTGCAAAGCTAGTCTAGTAAGTCTCATGTCCTACCAGTGAAGCAATATGAAAGTTTCCCTAAAGGTTTTAAAAGGTTTCAAAACTTCAGTAACATTTGTCTTCAACTGTGTACAGCAAATACACAGAATTCTTGACAGCGCTGTGGTTTCAGATGACCCATACATATAACTTATTTGTGACATTGTTATGGCAGAGTAATGGAGATTCATAAACTTAGGCTAATAAAACTTTTATGGTGCAGTGTATCAGCATGTAGTATTTCTCAGTATAATGAAAGAGAAATAGATCTATTCAACACTGTACACTCAAGCCCAGAGTTGACCTAGAATTGAGAATGCCTTGCCAACAGCTTCCTTCATTTTAGGACATACAGCTTCCAGATCAAACTGAAGCAGCCACTTCATCAGCTATGAGAGAGATTAATTCTCCAGGGTATTCAGTTGCAAATAATGCATAATTACTTTAACAGAATGTCATGCAATGACATGACAAAAACTTATGAGGTTAATTCCATGCCCACTGAAGTCACTGTTCAATGATTTTCAAGACTGTCAGTAAAGATGTATGAGTGGGAGATTTTAGCAGTGTTTCGGACAGCATAATGGCATTTCTGAAAGTTTTCCTCACCTTTCCCAGTAAAAGGATATTGTCACATATATATAAAACATTAAAATATAAAACTTAAGAATTCGTGCATCATTTGAAGAGCCTTTTAAGAGCTCAACCCCAAATCTCTGCTATTTCTTCAGGATCTGATACAGCATTGCAACAGTCATCTTTTATGGATGTTAGAATACTTACCTGCATTTAATGAAGGCAAGTTGTCTTTACCACTTATGCCTTCAGTGGCTGTACATTCACGAACCAATGCGCACTACAGAAGAAATGCAACCACAAATGTAACGTTTTCAGGTATTACAAGGAAATTCATAGCAGCTTATAAGTGGCAGACTGAAAAACATCACTGATAATATAACATCCCAACCCTTAATTATAATTCACATTTTTATCTTTATACTTCTGTTCCAATATACCGTAACACAATCAGAATTATCACAGAGAAAATGGCAAAATATGATCAGCTATTCCGTAATAGAACAGGTTTCCTACCAATACAATGGCAGAGGTTAAAATAATATTTGAGAAGTTCTGTGCTTTCAGAGAGGTTTCTTTTGACAAGGCAGTTTTCACATGCACGGTGTCAGAAAGCACTCCATGAATTTTTAAACAAGAGAAAGTAGGAACCACAAAAAGTCTTTAAAATGTGCTCATGGTTTGATTAAAGTCATTTGTTATGCAAGTGAATTGGAAGATTTCTTTGATAAGATTGGTGTATAAAATAAAAGTATTAAAAGTTTATGGAAAAAGCAACTGGTGTAAACCTATGTTAAATGTACTAGGATGTACGTTTTTAATGTTTCGCTTCCCCCAGTCAGAAAAAAACCCCAGATAGCCTCTCAAGGCTATAGGGAGCTCTGCTCCCAGGGCTTCCCCAGTTTCTAGGTGTCCTGTTACAGAGCTCAAAGCAAAGAGCAAGACATGACGTACTCTCTACCAGCTGATATCTCAGACTGAATTTAACTATCACCTTACTCTTCCATGAGGAATTCCCTGCACATAGTTCATCTAATGAGTTAGCAAACCTAATTCAGAACTTAATTCTCGAAGTAATTCAATAAGTCTCCATTCTCACAATTGCATCCTCACTACGAACATATAAACTAAGATTCCATGATGCAAGTAAGGACTAACTAAGGACTCCTTTAAAGACCACAGAAAATACAGCTGTCACAAGGTTTGTCTTTCTTGATAGTATTAGAACCCCCTAGAAAGATGCTATTAAAGCATCCTCCAAGCTAGATGTAGCTCATTAATTACATCTCAAATAACTGTGAGAAGTCTCGCTCCATATTTTGAAATGCAAGAAAAGCAAAATTAAAGAGAAGGCTGAAAAAAACAGTTCATGTTGCATATCTTGTGGAAGTTTTATAGTACAAAACCAGAAAGATTTCGCAGCATTTGTTGGCTTCTTTGGAACTGGTCCTACTAGTCCATTGTTTCAAAAGGGCGTGACGTCCTTTGAGAAGAATGGTGAAAAAGAAGTGTAAAATCTGTCCTCAGAGTCTGGCCCAAAAGCAGACTGTTTTGGCTGAGCAGGAAAGATATTCAGAACAATGCCCTTTTCTCCAAAAATACATTCTTATATGTTACTTCCAAACAAAAATTGCAGTCCTTAATTTTACATTCCCTGTAGTATTATCTCAAGTTGGTTTGGGGTTTTTTTTGGTTTTTTTGTTTGGTTTTTTTTCTCATGAAGAGCATAATACACCATAGTATTAGGGCTGCAAAAATTCTCAGTGAGAATGGGGCTGCAGAGGCAGAGACACCAGGAGGCGGCAGCTCTGTACAGGTACGTCAGTGGCCATCAGTGAGGGACCCAGTTAGAGAGACCTTATTATCAACTGCAAGTCATTCAAACATTGATTTCCTTGTTCTGAGCAGTCATGTCTCAATCTCTCCCAAGCCCAAACCTCTTGTCATCATGGACAGCCCACCCGTTCCACCCTCCCTCCTTTGGTTCTCCATTCCTCTCAAATTCTCCCCCCCCATATCATCTCCAGCTCCAGTCTCCACCACTTTTGCCTGCAACAACCTGCCTACTTAAGAGCATTTTTGCTCTTTCCGAGCCCTTCTGTCCTTCTTCTTGTCCCACACCATGAGCGCCCCAGCTCAGAACCGCTACATACACCCTCTGGTCAACACTGCCCTGTGCTAGCAATCTGAGGCACCATTGCTGCGCCATCCCTCCCGTTGATTTTCCCCAGCACTGTGTGCTCCCATGAAACGTAGCTGAACCTGCCCCTTTGCAAGGGGATTCACCTCTTCTTTGGCTTGCCTGTCTGCCATTCTTTCCAGGTTTTCAGTATTGTGGACACAGGTTGCACATAAAAATCCACGTGAACGGGACTTCAAGGGCAGAAAACAGAGGAACTGTCCAAGGGAAAAAGAAGTCAGATTTATGGCATCTCTGTGGACAGTTTTTTGATCAGGAGTGATTAAATATGATTGAGGTCAAAATCAGCTCTTTTTTTCCTAAAGAAGGGGAGGGACTAGGAAACAAGGATAGAATATTACTCTGCACGTTTTAATGAAAAACTATTTTTAGTTTAGGGAGATTAAGTGTACATAGTACTTTATTCCAGAAACTTTTGATTAAGCCCTTAACCCAATTTGGAATTAGTAATTTAGGCATTTGGTACAGCTGATCAGTCTAATTAACTTTGTGCAATGAACTGAGTTTTTACCTTTTGATCCTGGGTGTCTGTTGTGATGTGGTCCGTTTCTCCATCCCCTAGCTCTCCCATCTTCACAAGATCAACTTCAATGGTACCAACTGTTTTTCCACCATCAGAAGTCCTGGAAAAAAACCCCACGACACTGTGTCACCTGCAGTATCGTGTTCCTTCAGTAAAAATATTGTCAGTAAACATTTAGTCCCCTCTCCATTCTGTACAGCTGCAGTCACCTGTATCGAACTCATTATTTGCAATCATAAAGTGAATGTCAACAATAAGGCATATTATATTTTCTCCAAATTCTTTATAGCAATGAAAGTTTTCATCACAAAACTGAGGATCGGTAAGTGCTATAAACAGTGGAAGAACCCACAAACATTGCCAAGTTCTCATTCTAGACATTATTCTGGCTGTGGACTGTGAGAGAAAGGGCTGTAACATATTGCGCCGATACGCCACGTATGACCTGCAATCTCACTGCACAGTGCACTGCTTTGTTTCCTAACATAATCTGTGAAGAAAGGACATACTCAGCATTATTAATAAACCTCCTGCTAAACCAAAATAATGAAAATAATCTGCATATCAGTTTTCCTTTTGTAGTCTCTTTGCAGAGTAATTATTCAGAATCAGTCCCATTTCTTTAACTATATGGGAGAAGACAATACAGTTCCAGGTGAATTCCTTTATTATCACTTCCACAAATAGTTTGCTTCCAATCAGGCAAAACCAAATAGAAATTCAGATTCACATCTCCAAACAAAGAGTACTGCTCAAAGCCTTCTGGAAGAAATAAGAATTTAAACTCCAAAAAGATATTGAATGCTTTTTCAGCTTTCACAGGTAGCAAAACACCAAGGTTAATGTCACGATCTATCTCCCCTGGCTTATTCCGAACAGCTGGATTTTAGGAACGGAAGGAAAGACGGGTAACAGATCACTTAATAATAACGTGGAAAGTATAACAGCCACCAAGCAAAAAATTGGCAAAAGGAAATGACAAGAATAAGTTTAGCAGAACTGCAAAAGCACATAGAGGAAGAAGAATGAAAACAAAAGGGTTTGGGGCAATACTGTGTATAATCTCAGAAGCGAAGATAAAAAGTGATGAAGCAGGACAAAGGAATACGTAGAAGAGGGACTAGAGAGCCGGCAATGAAAAAGAAAAAATTCTTTTCAGAAACAGTAATATTAGAAAAAAGCATTTCCATTAAAAACTGCCACATTCCTAGGACAATCCCCGCTGCAGGAAAACATCACAACCCCCTTCAACACAGACACCCTTCCAGAACTTCATAAAACAGTCTGCACGTTATATTAGCAAAGGAAGAAAAAAACAAACCCAAACACCCTTCTCCTCAGTTCACCAAGCAGGAGAAAGACAGCAGTCGGAGCGCTGGCCCGCAGGTACACCCGCAGGCACGGTGCGGTGCTAAGGGGAGGCACTGCCCCA